CACTGTTTGTGTCTGTTATTGTTTGTGTGTATCTTTAATGAGTGTGTGCTTTCACAGCTGCGCTGCTCAGTACAGCTGCCGGTAAAGTCTTTGTAGGATGTTTCATACCTGCCGACTAGTTAAACACTCACATGCTCTTTGTTAGTTTTTGGACTTTAAATCTACGACAGATGTGGAACAGATCTGCAAACACACAAACAAATTCCACAAATTAAAATAAATAGACTCATGTTGTAAATCTGCAAATGTAGAGATGAGATTCACAAATAAAAACTGGATCTACGTATACGTGAAGATTTATATTTTCATCCACCTAGTTTGTAATTCACGTTTCTTACAATTTTATACTCCATCTAATAAAGGACGGAAGAGGAGATACACGCACACCAATGCAACTTGGCTGGACAGCCACAAAAAGGTTCACAGGTTGAGATCAATGCAAAAAAAATGTCAATGTATTTAGAAGATCCATGCACAAAAAGAAGGGTGCTCAAAGTTCTGCTTTACAGAACAGATAGAGACACATGCAGGTTACTACCAGGTGTGATGAATCAGTCAGCTGGTGCCACTAATTAGATGATCTTCGTCATATTTTGTAATTTTTTTTTTTTCGTGCTGCTGCTGTTTTTATTCACTTTTTATCACTTTTTACACTTTGAGCACCCTTCTTTTTGTGTACGGATGTCCTAATTGAATTTTATTTTTTGCATTGATCTCAGCCTGTGAACCCTTTCTGTGGCTGTCCAGCCCAGTTGCATTGGTGTGCAGGTATCTCCTCTGCCGCCCTTTCTTGGTTGTCCATTGTACCGACGCACCCAAGATAAACCTTTTTGTTGCCTGCGTTCTCAGCCTCTTTTAGTGACTTACAGCTCAGAGGGAACTCATTCAGCGGCTCCTCTGGCAGCAGCACAGCGTCTCTCCCTCTCCTCTCTCACCGTGCGCACACTGGAATTGATGTCGTCAAGTGATTTTGTCATAAACCTTTGGTAATGTAAACCTACGTGGCGCACGCGGCTCGACAAAAAACTCTTATATGTGAATGTGTGATAGTTGTGGTATCATAACAGCCTGTCACAGGTTACAGAGTGATGATTAGAGGAGAAATGGCAGAGCATAAAGGTCCAGGTGGAAAAACAACTCAATTATTTAGGATTTTACTAAAAGAAGGAAATCACCTGTTGATTTAGATATATATAGATCCCAGGGGACATTTTTTGTATTTGGGAGCTGTTTAAATCTGTAATTTGTGGTAGATTTTATTTTGTTGAACTGTTAATATTGTAACAGAATCTGAGTCTCACTCTGAGTTACTGTTGTTGTAGTTTTTACTGACTATTTGAAAGCAAACTATAAAACTATATCACTTATTTTAGTGCAATTCTGTTTTCTTAAATTGATAATTATCATATATGTTTTTTGAACATTAAAGCATGTAAACATGTTCTAGTAGAAAACCACAGCACAAATATGAGCAGAATAGGTCCCCTTTAAGTTAAACTGATTTCCTGATCCCTGCAAACCCTCACTGAGGTTTTGAAATGAAGTCTTTATCCTGCGTAGCTTCACTGTTTAGACAAGAAAACAATGAACACATCTCATGTTGAAAATCTAACCTCTGGATCACCACCACAATCCTAATCATTTGCAAATTTGCCTGAGGCTGCTCTGGCACCCAGCGTGTCATTGTGAGCACGTTAGCATGCTTACGTTAGCATTTAGCTCAAAGCACCTCTGTCTCTACAGCCTAACAGAGCTGCTGTCATTTTTAAGGAGGAATGTGTCGCTATAATCGGGCAACATGTGGCTTATTTTTAAGGTGTAAACACGTCCTCTGACACACCACACACAGCAGATGTGAGAGTACGCCTGAAGCGCCCTCTCTGTCTCTGATGACTGATCATCGGTCATATTGAGTCAACCTGCTTTTCATCCTGCACGGACCCATGATGCTCCTTCACATCCCCTAAAGAGATTACTGACTGACCCACTGACTCACTGCCTGGCCACGTGAGTGATGGAAAGACACGGGTGGACATAGATTTGATTAGAGTGAGGAGAGCCGGTAGAAAAGTGCTTAGATGGAGTGGATACAGTGGAATAGATGGGAGGAGTACAGGAGGGAGGACAGGGAGCAGTTCAGCAGAGTTTGGCCTTGTGCTGTTTCCTCAATGATGAGGGCTTTTCTGATCAAAGGCAGACGCCCCCGCCCTCCTCCTTCTCCTCCTGCTCCCCTGGGCTCCTCATCCCTAACCCCCCTCTAAGCTCAGTGCGCGCCCACCTACTCAAACCACACAAGCCTCACTGGGCCTCAGTCAGCCTGCATTTTGGATGTAATGAAGGTTTTTGACATTTCTGGCCCTTGACGACGCCACACACTCTTTGATTCAGACCTCTTCGCTTCTGGCAGCTGCTGTTTCCATGGCAACAAGGCGGTCGGTGGAGGTGTGTGTGTGAAGGGGTGGGGGGGACTCAGATGTGGGTGGAGACGGCGGCCATTTCGCACACAGCCTCTCCTCCCCCCCTCTTTTCACTCGTTCATTTGTTCTGAGTTCCAGCCGGCTCTGCCTGCAGCCTGACACTTTACCCACAAACCACTGCACCCATTTCTGGGATCTGGGTCATATTTTGAGTGACTCATCTTTTCAGCAGAAATTGTTCAGGAGAGGGAGGAGAGGAAAAAAGGGAGGAGGAATCAGAGGGATGGAGGGATTGATGGTTAAAGCAGAGAGAGGGGGGAGAAAGATTAGGTGGGACATGAGGCAGCAGAGGGGAGGAGATTAGGTGGAGGGGGGGTGTGTTTGTTTTGCCATGTTGGGTGTTCCTCTGGGATCTGCGAGCCTGACGGGCGGTGGTGGTGGCAGGGGTGGTGGGGGTGGGGGGGATTAGAGACCTGCTCTGGAGGCTCCATCATTATATTACCACTCTGAATGGTATTCATGTGTGTGAATCTCCGAGAAGGGGAGGGGGGGTGCGTTGCCCTTTTCCTGCACTGAGAATAAATGTTTCGACACAAAGACTCTATTGAGGAGGCAGGAAAAATGTGTGTTTTTCCATATGTATGTGTGTTTGTAAGTGGGACAGCACATGGACCCACTGCGGTCAGAAACTGGCAGCAGACCAAGCGTGAAGCACTGTGATTATGTGAGAAACGAGCAGAGCGCAAGAAAAGGCTGTGATTTCCAGAGCTGCGCAGGTTTATGACTATTGTAGTGTTTGTAGGTGGAAAATCATCATGTGAGAACAAACAAGAATGTAGATACTTAAAGGGATAGTTCAGTTTTTTGTTTTTTTTCTGTATCGTATATTACATACAGTAGATGTCAGTCATCACACCCCCAGTTTGCAGAGGCAGGCTGGAGTGTGACATGGAAGCTAAGCAATCTAATGCTGTTGACGGGGCCAGCAACAAAACATATTCTAGCCACCTAAAACAAAGTGGCACCTAAGAAAAATCAATATCAGTTGAAGTGTACGCTACATTTAGAGGCCGTAAACATACAGCATCTTTACTTGCCTGGAAAACCTGAGGTCAGGCGGTGGCTGCTACTTATGTGCTTTTTTTGAGGCATCTTTCTAAAGCATGGAGGTAGGTTGCATCTAGTGTGGAGCTGATCAGTCTCACCAGTCTCCAGGCGCTGTTTATAAGCGTGTAGGTCTATGGTCTGTGGGAGAGATGAAAAGCCCTGCTCTAACATGATCAACTTTGTCATATTTACCACAGACTGATGATTACGGAAGAAGGTAAAGATATCTGTCGGCCGTGATTCGTTGTTCATCATCACATGGCATGCAGCAAGCAATGCAGCACTCCAAAAGTTGAAATCAGTTTATCTCAGGGTACAGCCATCATGCCCTCAGAAACAGGCGCTTATGGACGGCATCGCTCTGGCTTTTGAGTGCACCTGCCATACGTCCACATTTAAAACAATGAATTTGAGGGTGCAAAAAAAACACGGCATGTGTCGGGCTTTTTAGAATATTTGCAACACCGTACCTTGCTGTCAGACAGCAGTTTCCAACAGGAAAATGAAGCCATTATATCGCTCTCTCCAAAGCCAGACTCCTTTCAGAAAAACAGTGATTTATCATCGCTGAACACAGGAGCTGCCTCGCACCAAAGATGGATGATAATACCTATATCAGATGCCAAGAAGGCGCCTATCTATTCCAATGGAGTTGCTCACTTGGTGCATACGCCCCTCTGTTGGGGTACCTAGCACACAGATCTGGTACTAAAAGGTAGAGCTGTGAACACTGCAGTCTGATTGGTCAATAGAGGACTGTCACTCTGCTCAGAGCTGAGTTGTGTCTGGTTTTGAGGCTCATGTAACCACTGTTCATACTGTGGAGAGTTTTACATATATTAGTAAAATATAACTTTAAAAAATAAAGGATGTTTTGCTGCCTGTCACAGCAGTTGGAGTCTGAGAATTCTTTTTTTTTTAATTCACTGGGCCAACTGCCGGCAACATTTAAGGTGGAACGTTAACTTGTAATGTTACTCAATGACCATTACTTTTGTTTTTATTGTCTCCCTTAGGTGAGTACACCCTGGACAGGTCACCAGACTATCACAGGGCTGACACATAGAGACAGACAACCATTCACACTTACATTCACACCTGCGGCCAATTTAGAGTCACCAATTAACCTGCATGTCTTTGAACTGTGGCAGGAAGCCAGAGTACCTGGAGAAGGCCCATGCTGACACAGGGATTACATGTGGCTCTGCACGGAGGGGCTCCCCCAACCCGGGTTAGAACTGGAAACCCTCTTACTGTGAGGTAACAATGCTAACCACTGCACCACCTTACTGCCTCCTAAATACTTCTCATTTTAAAACAGTGACGTTAACTAGCTAATTAGCTACAGCTGATAAAATCTGTTTCAGCCTGAGTGTGCTTGCAACTGTTTTAACTATATATCTACTGTAAAAGAATGTGTAGTTTATTAAGGGGAACACTCATCAAGAAAGGACAAACAGAAACAATGAAAGAAACTTTTAGCATTCCAAATCCCAGTTTTATTGGTCGTTGGATTTCAGGTGAACCAATGGCACGAGAGAGAGGTTAATCCACAATATCAAAAAAATTATACAAAATAATAATACAAAAAGAAGTTCCAGTTATACAAAGCAAAGATGTGGATCCTTTTTTTTTCATCTTTTATTTTCCTACTGCCCAAAAACTCAAGAGTAAGGCACAGTCATTACCACATGTTTACCCTTCCACATCCGTTTGTCTAAGCCTCGGTCTCGGTTACCTCGGAGACACGAGTTTCTCCGGGGACAACCGCTCCTTTTATTCGCTTGAGATTCTCAACCCTTCATGCCAAAACGTTAAAAACTTCAGAGAGAAAATTGGACGGACTTGGTGAGGAGCTGGCTACAATCATGTATCATTTTATAGGGCTACGATGTTTGGTTTTTCCGTACTGATTTTCACATCAGAGGAATGTTTGATGATGGAGATGATGGATGGATGAGCCCAGCAATTCAGAGCTCAGCGCCACGATAATCTTTACTGTACTGTAAAAATCAGTAGACAGAAACCATACTTACATGTGTGGAGAAGCTGAAGGGTAGAGAATCAAAGGTGGGTGCATTGTGCTACACGACTGCATAACAGACACTTCAGTTAAATAGACGACAAATTCAAAGTCTGCTTCTTTTCTTTCTTCTTTTTTAAACATATCCCGCCCTCGCTGACGAGTCAGGAACATAAAACTCCAACAAAATCAAACACAATTTGGTCACATCTCATTACGAAGGCTGTCGTGACACTCCTCAAAGCTCAGACAGAAATTAAAACTAAAGATGAAGCAGGTTTAAGTAATTAAGGGCACTCTTTCAGCACCTTCGGTTTCATGGCAAGGCTCTCAAGTGCAGGGGCAGGGACGCAGCATAAAGCCACTATCTGTCGGTCCAGACAGTGTGAGATGCTCGACGAGACTAACAAATCTGAACACGTCATGAGTTAGTAGCACCAGGTTCCAGTTGTATGTGTGTGAGATGATAGTTTGTTAATCCAGTATCAAAGGTTTGGTCTAGATAAAGGCTGAGGTCTAAGGTTTGGTTGAGGGATTCAAAAAGCAGCTTTCAAAAGGGTCTATAAATCATTTCACTCCAGTTGTTATGGCTACCTACTGTACCCATGATAATGTCTGTGCCTTGGACATAGAAAAAGAAATCCAACTGTGTATCAGGGAGTGTTTTTTTTTAAATCTTCCAGTAAGACAGGTGAGTGCAGTAAACATACAGTATGTGGCCGCACCATTTCTATTTTTAATTTCTTTATACTGTTCTCGGGACAATAGGTTTAGTGTGTGGAGAAGAGGGGGAGGAAGGTAAGTGTTTTAACTTCCTACATCCTGTCAAGGAAGCTATAAAAGAAGGAAAGGACATCAAGGACGTTAAATCTTGCACTGGAGCCAGACTGTAGTGCCATTTTGGCACACCAAATCACACTGTAAGCCATCATAACTTTGCTGTTTCACCTTTGACTGAAAAATCAATTCTCTAAATTAAAAAACACACTTTACATAATGCTTACTGATGTTTTTAATCTAAATGTGCACACTTGTTTTCCTCTTTATTGGTCTCCAAACAGATTGCGGCTCTGTCCGTCATTAGGGAACAGACTGGGATCGCCATCTCCTCGTTTACGACCTGTCATTTTAACAGAATCATCTGTAATTTGTTGCTCTTTAATAAGCTAACGTTTGATATACTGGTTGACATATTTCCTCAGATAGCTTGTGTATTTTGACTCCATTTTCCCCACCGAAAGAGAGGGACACAGAGTAGCTTAATTTTTCAGACGACAATAAGCCATAAAATTGCAATACTCAGAAAGGTTAACATTAGCTAGCTCTTTCGGTAACGTTTACTATTGTTGTTAGGAGGTGGCACTAATCAGCAAGTTGTATACGCCTCTGTAAATCTGGACCTTTATCACTTAAGTGACCTGCAAGTTACCGATAGCCGACTGGCTATAATTGCAGTCTGGTCAGCGATAACAGATCCGACCTTCCCCGTTCAGTTGTGCATCATGGTGCAGCCATTTTGGAGCAAATGGGCTTGACTTGAGCTATGATATGTTTGCAGACCAATAACAAGGAAAACAAACGCACACATTACGATATAAAACGTCAGTCGACATCACATGATGTAATCAGGTGATTTCAGTCCAAGGTGAAACACCAAAGATACGATGGTTATAGTGTATGTCGTGCCCACTTTGACTCCAATAGAAGTGGCACCAAACTTTGACGTCATATCCTTTCTTTCGTTTATCGTTTCCTTGTTTTGGTCCGGGTAAAAATTTCCCCGCAACCAATGAGAACACAGCTAGAGAACAACACAGGAAACTGGTTTACATTTGAATATTTTACAGTTGAGATGAATAAGAGTGGGGGGGGGTTAATAAACCCGTCAGTTACATCATCTTCGATATCTTCATCATCATCAGATCCACTCCAGTTATACCACATGGTCATCACACAGAGGCAACGGCGCCCGCTCATGAAAACAAACATACTCGGCCCGGTCTGACAGAAGCAGTAAATCTGTTTTCTACAGGATGCAACCGCACGAAAACAGACCCACCGTCTCTGCCTTGTATATCCAGCTAACAGGAAGCAGATTTTATCTGGTGGTGGTGGATCTGTTTTGGGAGATTAGATCAGGTAGAAGCAGATCCAGCAGACCAGGTCAGATACCATAAATACTGCCACCATGTGCTGCTCAGACAGACAATAGAGACAAGTGGAAAGACGAGGGGGGTCGAACTCAGAGAGGAGGGGGCTCTTTAAACGTGGCTCTGCTCTGCTCTGGGAGAGGGACGGCCCAATTGTAAGGCGAGGAGGGAGTGTGTGGCAGGTCGAGCAGCGAACCAAATCGGAGCAGAAGAAAGTGCACAGCCCCACGGTAACTATGGCAACAGATAAAGGTCGGCGCTGCAGAGCAGAGCTGGGAAAGGGAGGATAAAGGGAAGGAAAAGGGAGGCAGGAGAGAAAGGAGTGTCTCCTTCCTTTCGTCTTCTGTCCTCCCCGTTCTCTCTGTGCAGTTTATCAACATATAAAGTCAGGTTATAATATGAGGAACAGGACAGGAGGGGGAGTGGAGGGTGTGGATAGGTAGATGTATGGACGGGTCGTGCTGCATCGCCACACTTCATTCATCAGCATTGCAGCAGTGGGCGACTGCATCCCCGCTTCCCTCAGTACTCCCAGAGTGTGGCGGTTTCCAGGTCATCAGCGTTGGCCTTCAGGACACCAGCGTGGTCACCACGCAGGTACTTCCCATCAGCGGCGTGGCGGACGGCCAGCTTGTTGTAGTCGCAAAACTCAAAGAGGAAGTCGACGGGTGTGTCGCTGCTGCTCACCACCGACTGCTCATTACCCACCATCCAGTATTTACCCGTGGAGTCTGCAGGAGGAGAGGAGATGGAGTTGAGTTGGGGGTGTCATGTGGCAGAAAGGTGGGGGAAGGGTGTGAAAAAACGGAAGAGGGAACAAAAGATACGGCTTAAAACTGCATTGTTTGAATTACATAATGCAAAGGCGGGGAAATTATCCGAATCAAATCCCTCTTTTTGGCCCAAACCTAAATCCATAATGAGAATTAATGATTTAATCCCTCGTATGCCTGCAGGAGGTCCCTACACACGCTCAAACAAGCTTTACCTTCCTGCTGCCTGTGGAACAATGCTGCACATGTGCAAGTTTACATCCCAAAGTAGCCAAGATGTCCTTCAGCAAGAACATTTTGTGGACACAGTCCGAACAGGGATGGTAAATGAATGTTATGCCATAAAGTGCTACTGACATATATATTGTGTCACACTAGAGGCCAACGCTGCTGTGTTACATGTCACGCCTGTCATGCCGCGTTTGTCCCTACAACCCCTCATGCTATCTAAATCACTCACTGGGGGCAGCATTATGCGGGCGTGATTTGGTTCTGTATAAAAAAATACAAGGTGGTGTAATGAAGTGACTTTGTAGTCGGTTAGCTAACACGCTTAAACTGACCTTGCAGGCTGTAGGCTCCATCTCTGAACTCCAGGGTGAAGTAGTCATAGGAGGAGCGGTTGGAGTCAAGCGTCCCTGTCACCTTCCTGCAGCCGATGAAGCCGTGCTCCCCTCGCAGCACGATGATCGGGCGGTTAATCAGCTTCATGAGAAACTCCTCAGACTCACCTGGAGACAGACAGAGGGCACAACATGCTTACTGGAGAGTGTATAAATTACCATAAAAGACACAACATGCTCAACAGTTTATTTCACTGTGGGCTTAAATGACTGACTTAAATACATTTCATTTAAGGTTTACTATGCAGGATTGTTGTAAACATGCTAATGAGCAAATGTGAAAGTAAAAGCCAACCCCAGGTTCACTCTCGTTCTATGTTTCGCCTCGCTATATTTGCATTTTTCAGCACTATGTCTCTTGTATGCCTGGTGCTCACAGTCTGGCACCTGGTCGCTTCCTTTTTATAAAGCCTCAACCTCACCTGAGCGCTGTGGGAGTACATGCCCTGAATGTCCCAAAGTGCAGAAAATAAGAAAATACAAGCAGAGCGCAGAGTCTCTGCAGATAAATATACCACCACACACTTCTAGTGGGTCATAAGTGATGACTCAGAGGGATTACTTCTCTACAAGTCTGGTTTTTAAAAAAGGAAATCCTGCATATAAACACAAAGTTGTGCATTATACTGCAGCTCAGTCTTTGAGGTTAAAATGCTGAGTTTCATACATCTCATTAAAAATGTATGCAAAGCAACTTGGCTTCAAACGTGTCCTAAAAAGATCAGTGTGGCAGCCAACAGCTCCCTCATCAGAAACTGCAGCACAAAGTAAAAACTTGTGCTTTGATCCACTAATGCCAGCACCCAGCGCCCGCCTTATAATTGGACTATCTTCTGATCTGCTTGCTGACATGAGGCTTGTTACTTTGCAGCCATGAAAGCAGATGCTCTAATGGCCAGAATCTCTGCAAAGTCTTCACATTGGCTGTTTGTAGCATCTGTGTGGGCTGGCGTTATTAAAAAGTTGTAGATTTTGACATTTTGTGAAATATGTTTATTTGCCGTCTTGCTGAGATGGATCTAGCTGCAGAGCTCCAGGCTTGGGCCCACCTCCTCTGTCGGACCCTTTCTGGTCCCGAGCTTGGAGAAGGAAATCTGATATTGTGTACGCCCGCAAGAGACAATCATCAGCAGTGCACGTTCGTTAATTAGATTAAGCCCCAGGCCCTGCACCAATTTTAGTAAGGTCAACAATACAACCTAATATTTTGATATAACAGTAAAGTTAGGTAATGTAACATTAAACAGCAAATAACTTGTAACTCGCAGCATTCACAGACAAACACTTGTCTTTATCTGGACACATTTTTTCCACAAATACAACATGCTAATGTTATTAGCACAAGCCTATGGCATTTTACATTGTATAAATTAGCCTAGCATTTAGCTGACTTTTTCCTCTACTCATATGAAGCCAGGGACAACAGCAACATTTACCAAAGCTAAATTCAGCTGCATTACAACTCACAAGGTTCACCGACAAAAAAACTGTCTTATACTAAACATGTTTTCCAAACAAATACAACATGCTAACGTTATTAGCAAAAGCCTATGACATTTTACATTGTATAAATTAGCCTAGCAAAAAGCAAAGATTTCCTCTGCTCATATGAAGCCAGGATAAATCACACACAAGACTTAAAATACTATTTTTGTGGAGGCCTTATTGTCTTCACAATTTATTGTTTCTTATCTGTGAAATTAAAGTAAATAAAAGCTTTGTTTCCACTGAGGGAAATGGTTTCAGATTACAGAATCAGACAGGAGGTCTGCGTTGCTAGGAGCGTAGTTACATTTCTGGGGAGGTATAAGTTGGGCTAGGGGCGTAGGGTACGGCAGAAGTATAAATCCCACTTTAGAAGATCAAAACTGCTCTCATACCTGTCTGTTAAATGTAAGGCTTCAGCCAGCACCTGGTTAACTAAGCTTAGCACAAACAGTGGAAACAAAGGGAACTGGCTAACCTGGCTCTGTACAAAGGCAACAAAAAAACAACCTCCCAGCATCTCTTAAGCTCATTAATGAACATGTACTGTAAGAACAGAATTTGCTGTGTTACTGTGGGTTATGTGCACCTAGATCAAAACCTTTACTGAAGTCAAAGTACCTGCAGTCAGCATCTTGCTTAAGTAGAATTAAAGTAAAAATACTTGTTCTGTTGTAAAATGTCCCCTGAGACAGATACATTATTATATATGACATAGTTAGATTGTTTATACTGATGAATCATGTTGAGGTACTTGTACTTAAATAGAGTACTTGAGTAAAACTGTTTTTCCTCCACTGTTTTTGTGTCACAAGCTCCTCAGTGACTCTGCATACTCTGGAGTTTTCTCATGATGTTTCCAATCAACATGATTGACTCAAATAGAAACACAGCATGAGCATGGCAGTGGAACAAAGACACAGATTGCAATGAAGCTCATTCTCCGAAGAGTAAACAGCTATGTTCTGCTGTTACGAAACAGAACCGGCACTGAGGCCTTTGAAGCTCAGAAACTACTGGAACATCCAGCCATGATTTAATTCCTGCGCTGTGCTGAAATCCCCCATCGCTGCTGAAAAGTAAATCAGTTAGCTACGTGTCATTGTCTGAACGGCTGAATCAACAAATCTCACCGACCGGCAGAGTCGATGGTGGCTGCTAGCTGGCCGTTTTTCTTGGCGGCGACGTATTTCCCATTGGCAGCCCGGAGAGTCAGCCTCTTCCCACGCCACTCAATGTCAAAGTAGCAATTAGCTGACCTGCACAGAGAGAAAGAGGGAAAGTGAAGGCATGAGAGATAAGCGGGATAATTACATTTACATGGCAGTTAGAGATCCAGTGGCACACTTGTGTGAGTGTCAGGTGTAAACACACAGTCACATTTAACTCTCCTGTTGCTGAAAACTACACACACCTGTTTAATCCACAACTTAAGTAGCTGTAATCGGATAGGTAGGGTCAAGGTAGTGGGATAAGCTTCACTTGTAGTCTTTGTGCCAAGTGAAAGGATTAACTAAGAATTTGATTCAACTTCACCAGAGTAGAGTTTTATTCTCTCATACTGCCATCACATTCTGCTTTGCTATCTTTCATTAGAGAAGCTCTGAAGCATTCTCCTAAAATGTTTCCTCAAACCTCGGAAAGAGGACTTCACTTAGTGGGAGCAAAGATTTTTGTGGTCTAATCTGTGAGGAGAGTCAAATGTCAAGAATGTGATGAAGGAATTCGGTGGACTTCCTGCGGAGCGCTCTGCAGTGTCGATGACTGTGTCTGCTCTTATCTTTAAAAAAAAATGGAGCAGTGTTAACTCGGGACATGTGCTTCTCTGACCGCTCTCACACTGGAAAAAATATTTTTGTTGCATCACTTCTTTATCTTCTTCATGACCCTACATCCATAAAAATACTGAGGTATTCAAAATAAGGGTCTTCTTTACAGGAACAGTTCACCCCAAAATCAAAAACACATTTTTTTTCCATCTTACCTCTAGTGCTATTCATCAGTCTAGATTGTTTTGGTGTGAGTTGCCGAGTGTTGGAGATATTGGCTGTAGAGATGTCTGCCTTCTCTCCAGCATAATGGAACTAGATGGCACTCAGCTTGTGGTGCTCAAAGCACCAAAAAAGTAAAACTGAACAACAATATCTATTTCCAGAAATGATGACCCTGTTGCTCAAGATAATCCACAGACCTTGTTTTGACCAGTTTTATGTAGAACTATCTTCTCTCAACCAAACTACACCCACCAACTGTATCAGCGTGCAAAAGGAAGCGTGCATCTACTGCTAGCTCTCCATGTTGCCTACATATTTGAAGGGGTGAGACGACTAATGTATTTCAAACTTAGCCAGTGACTACTGTTGTGATAATTGAAGCGTTGTACAAATAAACGTGTGTATTTTTCATTACCACTACACTGTTATCAGATATAAACAATCAGCTTTTTTATTTGGTTAATTGACCCTTCGTTAAGCCCCGCCCCCCTTAGTTACTGTTGCCATGTCCGTCAAGCTTTCGCTCCTAGCATAAGAAATATGGAGTTTTCAGCGATATCAGTGAGAGATATTCCAAAGGATATAACATCAAATTTCTGGAAAAACTGTTCCGAGATATCAGAGAGAAGCCGACAGAAAGGTCTTCAACATGCATGTGAGAGCTACATGCACAATATCATCTGCTGGTGGAGTATAAATCACGAGAACATTAAAATAAAGGGAAAAGCTCACCAGTCGCAATGCAAGCGTCAGGCACCCCACGTCTTGAACAAAGAATGTTCTTGTACAGCAGGGTAAGTCAATATATGGTTTAAATTTAAGTTAATGTTGAGTTATGTTCCGTCCTTGGGGCAGACAAAGGGAGAGCAGCTAGCACACAAAGCTAGCGTTAGCTAACGTTAGTTAGCATCTTAACTTTGAACAAACGTAGGTGTTTTTATTGAGCTTTGCTGGATTCAGCTGTTCGTGTGGTCTTCCACACTGTTTTAGCCATATCTTCCTTGGGTCTTGGGCTTGGGGAAAGGGGGAAAATTCAACACCACCTTCAACACTTTTTGGGTATCAGGTGTCGGACTTGAAGGTAACATCACCGTATGCATGCCGCTTCGGCATATTAGCTTCTGCTGAAAGCTTGACGGACCTCTGGGTTGCTACACACGGTTGCTAACGTAGGATTGGTCAGTGACTGATTAAGGGAGAGACTTAGCGAAGGGTCAATTCTGTAATAATTTGGTACCGAACAAAATGCTAACATTAGCTTGCTAACTAAAAATTTAAAAAAAATTATTTCGGTTGAGAGAATCCCTTCATTTTCTAAACTTCTAAACTTTTATTGTGAAACATTTGCAGGAACTTGTAGAGGATTCAGTGACTTGCACAGTTTGCATGCTGTACTTCAAATGTAGCTCCTGCCACCTGGTTGCGCTTTTTACTTAACTACTATAACATTTCAGCTGGCACATGAACAGACACAGTGACTGAAATAATAGTAAAACTAATAAAAATAGGACAAGAATAACCTGATGTCATGAAAGAAGACTGGGGATAGTTGGTCGTGGACCATCGTGTAGTGTGTCATGTCTGTTGGCCAAGTCACGGCACGATTTTATGACTCCAGAATCATCTAATGTGACATAGAGACTGTCGTAACAGACAAAAATGTTGTGTAGTGTGAACCAGGCATTGTAGTAGAAAATCTCAGTATTATATTTGTGGTCAAATGCTTGACAAGTTGTAATTATTCCCAAAATGTGGCAGCTATCATTAACACAGTATATCAGGTGGCGATAGAGTCAGCCATATTGTGAAAGCACTTTTGTGACATTTGTTTGTCACAAATAGGTCATGATTTCTGGAAAGAGAAACTGATTTTTCTGAGTTTTTCAAACATACCTTTTTGGCGCTTTGATCACCACAAGCCAAGTGCCATCTAGTTCTGTTATATTGGAGAGAAGGCAGACATCTCTATGGCTGATATCTCCAACACTCTGCAACTCACCCCGAATCAATCTAGACTGATAAATAGCACTACAGGTAAGAGGAAAAATATGTATTTGTGATTTTGTGGTGAACTGTCCCTTTAAAGACAACAAGAAAAGTCTGAGATTCTACTCCTGAATCTGTCAGGGGCCTCACAGTGAAATCATCCATGAGCAAAGGGTGAAAGGTCAAAGGTCAGGGGTTAACAGCCCGCACTCTGGCCAGGCAGAGCCACTGCACATAAAAGAAAATCACTCTCCACAGGTTGAGGTTGAACACAGATGCACTTAATCTCCCACAAGATGCCACAGCCATGAGATGAGGTCACTCACTCTTCACCTCCCACACACGTCATCCACCCCTCACTGCGCGCACACACACATACACACAAATCTCCTTTGTCATGTCACAGCTCACATTACTGGAACTACAGACTAAGAGCTGTGACGGACCAGTATCAGGTTCTCTGTGATCACTCACACACAGATTGGAGCAGGTGTGGTGAATTTAAAGTTTCAGATGTGTATCTAACGGAGTAGAAAAGAAGAGACATGACAGTGATGTGTGATGCGTACTTGGTGGAGGCAGTGCACTGCAGGCCACCGTTGGCAGTCAGGGTCCAGTATTTCCCAGCAGCGGTCCGGAATGCGCACTTCCTGTTTTCACGGCAAATCTCCACCTGGAACACTTCCTGGTCACCCTCCTCATCCTGATTGGCTGACAGGTCCATACCTGGGTGGGGTCGGACAGTTGGGGGAGAAGGTTTAGCTAAAATACAGGCCAGTGGGTCAGTCGTTAACGCACATGTGAGGGCTGCAAATAGCCGCAGAGGATGACCATTACCTACAAACAGTCCACACACACACCAACACAGAGTAAGGTATAAACGGCTTCTAACACACACGCCCACACACATCCTCTGGTCAGGATCAGACATGCTAAATGAGCAACATCAGACGGGTTTGGATTAGTGAAGGATTTCACACAGCTGCACACCCACACATACATCTGTCACAGTCCAGACAGACCCCTCTACAGTTCAAAGGATTAGTCGTCATGGTGGATGGTCACTCAACACAGAAGAAAAGAAACACACACAAGGCCACATGAGTCTTCACCTCACTGGCATCTACCATGGATAAAGACTGCAACAGCTAGAACTGGAACAGTTGATCAATGAACAGAAAATGTATCTATAACTATTTTGATAATCAATTATTGACTTAATTTATTAAGCAACAAGACTGAAGAGTCTACAGCCATGCCAGTGGCTCTGTGAGGCTGTATTTAGACACAGCAGAGCTTTGAGCTAAACACTGACGTCAGCATGCTGATGTCATCAGGTGTCATCCTCCTGGCACCATTGGGCTGTTCTCATGCACTGTTCGTATGTATACGTACGAAAACGAATTCATATAACACACAAAATCGTGAAGGCTGTGACCACATGATGAACGCGCTGACAACTAAAGAAGGCAGCAGTATGAAGAGCAAAGAGCATTAAGTATGTAATAGAATGTTAAGTACGTAACCTGACGATGGCCAACTATGCTTCTCATCCTAAACCTAATGAACATGACTTTCCTAAACTTAACTAGCATAACTCTACTTTAAAGTACATCACATATTGACACTCACAGAAATTACAAAATCATTAAAACCACTAGGAGCAACCAAAGGCTGTTGAACATGTACTTCTTAAAATTGTCTTAAAGGTGTAACAGTAGCATCCAACAAGGAGGGTCATGATGTACGGTTATTGTCGATAATAACTGTGGTATTTATTTCTGTAGTTATCACGATAATATATTGTTATTGTGAGCTCTCTTGGCCACGATAACAGTGAAGTGATCTGTCGTCTTGTCGAGCCCACATCCAACATTATAGCTCTACTTTGTTGCAATCTTAGCAAAGAATTAACATTTGCACCTAACTCTACATGAGTTTACTTTCTAAATCTAACTTACATAACTTTACGTAAAGTTAGTAAGTTCACCTTTACTACCTTACGTGACTACACCCAACCATGATTCTTTTTCTAAACTTAACCTAAGCAGGGGGATTACTAATTTGTTAGAGATCATATGAACTGTTGAATGAGGATACGTTGGCACCATAGATGTCTGTAACTAAAATTTAATGGCAATTCAGTCAGTAGTTGTTGAGATATTTCAGTCTGACCAAAATTCCCTGGCAAAAGATGTCAAACACGTGGACTCTAGCTCCTCAAATAAAAAGGTTTGCTGCTTTATCTGTCTCTTATATCACTTGAAATTGAATATTTTGGGGTTTTTAAGTGCTGGTCAAACAAAAACAAGCAATTAAAAGATGTCCGCATCGGCGCTAGGATATTGTGAGAAGAAGCTTTTTGCCAGTAATTGACAGGACAGTTGTTGTTGTGAAGGGGGGTTTAAAATGCTGCAAAGGCTCATAGGTTCCAATCGAACCCGCGGCCGCTGCAGCAAGGACAAGGCCTTTGTACTTGGGTCACCTGCCCTACCAGGTGAGCTAATGGGCACCCTGCAAAAGGCTTTTTTAACTATTTTCTGACACTTTATAGGCAAAACGTTTAGCTGATGATTTACCGGGTCATATCTAAATCCGGCGCTGTTGGCAGCGGGGTGTGTGTCATAGGAGTGTTGGATTATGTTGGATTATATAGCAGTGACCTCCATATCACCTTCTGATGCCTCTGTGCCTCTAAATAGTGGAAGAGTAACTGTACATTTCTCTTTAAATATGTAAAAACTCCTGTTAGCATGGTTAAAGCCAGCGCTATTTTGGCCACGTCCGCCATTGTATGCAATGACGCCTCATTTGTGACGCCTCACAAAGGAGACAACGGCCCAAAACTCATCCTGGTTACACATCAGCGCTGAAAACAGTTTCTGAAAATTATCATGCTGGAAAAAGTTTTACAAAAGGTTTGTCTCCAGTGAAATAAAACGCAGTTTGCATGTGGACAAAAGACCAAAATGCACAGAAAAAGCAGTTTTAAAAATACGCGTGTACGGCTTAAATCTGTAGGCAAAAGCGCTGATGTGCACATCTGTGCTCGTATGTCTGTGTGTGTGTCCATCAACCTGACTGTATGTGTACAGAATGCCAGACCTCATTAAAATCACATCAAGCCATCTGAAGCACTTACAGCAACAAAGAGGTAAACAAACATGAGAGAACTATAGGATGGAGACATACATGACTCTCCAGTGCACCACTCCCCTCACACTCACTTCATGCAGCACAAAGCGTGCTATTGTATATGATGAGGTCACGGCGTGGATGGACCTGTAGCCAGAGGGCTGCACAGAGAGAGATGGACTGTCTGTTGGACTGCTGTGTAAATGTGTGCAGAGCGAGACAGACGGAGAGAGAAAGAGAGATGTGTTCGAGAAAACAAACCAGCACACTCATGTGTTCCCCATCCGTCTCCCTTTTCATGTGTGACGCCCTCCCCCACTCCATCTCAGTTTTACCCATGTTGTCTTGTTCTCTCACAGCCTCACAACTGGCCGCAGTGGTCTCGTAAAATGTTAAAATCTGCCCGAAAATGCTGTTAAACAATAAATAATATTATCATGTGGGTCAAAAAATGGAAGTAGGCTTTTTCTTTTGCTAGAGACAGGGTTGCATAATTTTTGGGGATAGCAGGGGAGTGTTTAATCTTTGTTTTCTCACCCCAGATTTATAGAAAAAAAGATTACATGCTGTAAATGATGGCTTTAGTGTGTGCGCAATGATTCATATATGCATGTTTGCCATAAGCAGAGGACAAGAATCCTGTGTGTTTGATGTTCAGTCATAATGAAATGGTAACTCATACACACTGGGGGTGTTTTTGTCGTGTGATTAAGGTCGAGTCCACACGGACAGCAGTATTTTTGTAAACAGGGTTTTCCCTCTTTCGTTCTCAAAAAACAATCCCACCCACACACAATGATAAGTACCGTATATTTATGTGTATGTGTTTATGTGTAAACATATAATATGTCATGTTAGTAAGGGTAGAATCAGCACAATTTTGGTCACGTCAGCCATGGCACAAAATGCTGCCTCATTTGTGACGCATCACAAAGAAGATAACAGTGCATGCTCTGTCGTTACAAGCCAGACCTGTTTTACCTGTCTACAAGTCAACACTGACAAGAGTTTCTAACGGTCTTCTAACTGGGTTTCTGACAAAAGGTTTGTTTTTAGTGACTTAGTTTTGGAGAAGCCAGGGGTGGACTCAAAGACTAGTGATGCCTCACAGAAAGCCCATCACTAAAGCAGTTCTGTCTTTTAATATCCATATCTAATGTCACAACAGGCGATGGACAGTGGTTACTAGCATTGTCACCTCACAGCAAGAGGGTTCCTGGTTTGAACCCCAGGGTGGGGGAGCCCTTCTGGATGGAGTTTAATTATTCTCCCCATGTCAGCATTTGTTTCCTCCAGGTACTCCAGCTTCCTCCCACAGTCCAAAGACATGCAGGTTAATTGGTTACTCTAAATTGTCTGTAGGTGTGAATGTGAGTGTGAATGGTTGTCTGTCTCTATAGGCCCGTTTCCACTGAAGAAGTTCCTGGTACTATTTGGGGGGCAGGAACTACTACAGGAACGTCCTCTCGCTCGGCACTCTCAACCGCTGTGAGAGAGTACTGAGAGAGCGGAGTAGGAGGAAGGTTCCTGTAAAGTTACCGGGCTCTGTATGTGATGTAAACGTTGGGCGACCATTTTGATCGGGGCGACGTAGGGGCGTAGGGATGCCGTTATCCATTAGCGGTGTCTGTAATAACTCTGGTCACGGTCCATGGAAAAAAATATTTTATCCAGCGGATGTCTTAGTTACAATTTAGTTGTACAACTTAGTTTCATGTCGTATCCAACAACGTGAGGCTTTCAACAGACGACGTCCTGATGTTAGCGCTGCTGCTGTAAGCTGTCCCTGTCAGCTGATGCTTTCTAGACATCGTGATTTCTCAAAACTGAATAAATACCACACATAGCAACACAAAACTGCTTTGCTAGCTCAATGATGTTGTAACTAAGATATCCGCTGGAAAAAAAATTTTTTTTCAAGGACCGTTTATTGAGTTATTACAGACACCACTAACAGCTAACGGTTAGGCCATATAATCTAAGATAACCATGTTGTTTACAAAACGTCACACCCTGCCTTGAGTATATCCAATCAGCACCAAGTAATCCCCAAGCCCCAGCCAGGAGTTTCTCGGGGCCGTTCTGAGTACCTACTCCAAGGCAGGGACTTGTTTAGGCCCTGTAAAAGTTCCAGAACTCTGTCCTTCGGGGGTGGTTCCTGCGGTGGAGACACGCACCAATGGCCCCATAAAATTACCCCAAAGTTCCTGCGGTGGAAACGGGCCTTATGTGTCAGCCCTGTGATAGTCTGGTGACCTCTCTAGGGTGTACCCTGCTTCTCACCCAGTGTCCGCTGGGATAGGCTCCATGAGGGTCGATTCGCTCTTGGAGCCAGCCCAAAGTGGTTATTCAAGGAACTACAGTTTTTGGCACCTCTGTGTTGGCTTCATTTTTCAGCCCCAGAGGCTGCCGCTTGATTGCAATCAAGGATGTGGTTGCATGTTTTGCAAATTTACATCACTGCCAGTATGAATAGTTTTGATACAAAGTATTTGACGGCAACTATTTTGCATTTTCGTGTCATTTATTTGTCATGCCCAGCTATGTAAGGTCCTTTAGAAGTAGAAAAACCTCCATAGTGGTCATGGTGA